GCATTCTTTACTCTATTACCACTGAAATAGTCTAGACATAGTTCTAGGTCAGGCAGCCTCTGGTCCAGGAACGTAAATGTTTAGAATACATTTCAGATAACGTCAGTGGTTCCTTTGATTAATACCCACATGAATACAGTCTACCCAAGTCTACCCAATTCCCCAAGAATTAGGCCCAATGGTTTCTGTCAATCCTGAACGAGGCTGGCCATTTGGACTCATGTATCATTTCAAGATGTCTCTTAAAAACATCAAACCATTCAAAATAAGAAATCTACAAAAACCTCAAAACCCACGAGAGTACATCATCTGCATAACCTAAAGTGTATTTGTGTTTTAAGAAAAACTAACTAAACCTGATACACAGGCACCCAGAGAAGCCCACATATACATTACCCTCCTAAGAGCAACTCATAATTCAAGCTGCTCTTTTATGCAAATTGAATTTCAACACTGAAATTTGGGCTTGGTTCTGCCCCACCAACCTCCAAAGCCTTGAACTATTAGTAAGGCTGCCTAACACAATTAGTGACTTCAGTAGGGTATACAAGTGTCGAATTTCGACTGGTTCCTGATAAACCAGCTGAAATTCACATCGTGGGTGGGTGCCGCTGTCGGCAGCCTTCCACCTGGCATTCCGCGATCAATTGACCAAAAGAGCCAGATGGAAAATTCTTAGCCGTGGCTGCTGTCAGGATACAATGCAAACAGTGGGGTATTGGTCCATCTCCATCAACACTTGTTGTGCGCATTGATGGAGAAACCTGTTCTAATTTTTCGTTCAGCCTGCAAGTTGTTGTGTATACCTGGCTTAACAGCAAGTGTTAAAAGGCAGAGTCTAGTACTGAATGCAGGAGATGAAGTAGATTTTTCAGGGTATTCTGTATTACGAGGGGGTTCCAGAGGCACATGGTCATATTCATTCATTTTGCTCGAGTACAGATTCACTTTAATAAGAGCTCCAGAATACATTTAACCTCTGTCATATTCATTGAGAACTCACTACCTCAACCTCTCGTATTATCTGTTAAAATACAATAGTAGTTACTGATATAGTCTCTGAGCTTGATCACATCCAACACTTCTTATCAGAAATCTGGCACTGTGCAAATAGAATGATCAAAGGACCTTAACGGCAGGTGCTATTCTGACATAACCACATGGGCTTTTGACCTCTTACTGGTGGCTTGACAACCAATTTCAGTGTATGTGAAACAAGGTTGTGAAAATTCAGAAGACAATACCTAGATGAGTATCCGAACCAGTTGTTCCCATTAATGTTCAAGAGGAAAAGGGAATTATAAATCCTATATGCCCAAGGTTTCTGTTTTTCATCCAATCATAGCTGTCTGTTGTACACCAACCTACTCATCTTGTTTCCGACAGCCTGATGTTCTCAAAACACCAACTGCCGAGCCGTGTGAATATTTATTGCTATTGTTTCTTGACCCCAGCCACTGTGAAGAGAGGAAGAGCTGCACAGCATTGTGCGTCTTGAGGCTGTAGTCAAGGCAGGAAGCACATATGTCAGCCTCCTGGAACTTGTCTGTATTGGAATACACAACACCAATATGAAAGTTGGCCATCCTCAGATCAAATTTTGGCTTATTCTTACTGAATTGCCTGAAATACGAGCTATGGGTGGCCCTGTTGGCACCATGTGTTCTTCAATTGACTTTTGTCAAAGAACATGGGTGGAAAATTAATGGCTGAACAATGCCTGCATGCAATCAGATACATTCACTGTTCAAGCATTCAGCAGCTGCTGGTGCAGTGGCTGCTGAATACAATAGCCGGCAGCAGCGATTCCTCTATCCACACTATTTAGCGTGGATAGGGGAAGTCTAATGATGTCCCTCGTTCAGCCCACAAGAAACCTAACAGTGTGTGGTTGTCTTAAACTACATGAAGTATAACTCTAGCCAATTATAAAAACAGATGTGCCTATGGAGTCATTAATAAATCATTAAATGTATATTTCATGGAACTAGGGTAAATACCTAAGTTTTACTTGCTATCGGCTTCTTGCACTCCCCTATACACCAGCGCTCAGTTAGGAGTAAAAAGTAAACAATATCAAGAGCCAAAGAGAAAGCTACATGCAAATTTGTTGACAAGCAACATGCTGACAGAGACCAGAGATGGCCTCATCGGTCTCTTGCAGCTCCTTTACAGTCAAATCAGCAGGCTGGGGGTGGAGAGGTGACACCACCAGGTCCCTTAACTATAACAAGTAGTGCCATCTGCATGTGCTATGTGTAAATCTCAGGACTAAATGGAGAGAAATGCAAATCTTTGGCAGTAAAACAGCTCCCTATGTATTTATATGTTTGTCTGGAGTTCATTTTTAAACTTGCGCTTTGTTCATGATTAAAGTATATGTCAAGTAAAAAGGTTTTTCTAATTTTAGATGAACGAAGGAATAGTTCACCTCTATGGTTTTTACTTCTATCCGGTGTCCCTTTACTGAAACTCGCCAAAAAGGACAAAATCAAAACTAAAATCCGGCCGGGGGTCCTAGCTTCCCCCTACTCTACTCTACTCTACTAATGAAAAGCATTTCTGTAAGTTTTTCTATCGGAGGCGCTTCCTTTCTTGTTTAGATGGACACGATGCGAGGGGAAATCTTCCCAATCCTGGTTAACAGTAGAAACCCAATGGGATTTCAAAGCCTTCTACTCTCTATCCATAAATACAAAAAAAAAAATTTGGCTTGACTTAGACTCTATGTCTGATTGGTGTCCACCACTGTCAGGGGGTTCTAACCCTTCCACCCTCCATCCAAAAAAAAATTTGGCTGGGCATACACTTCAAGAGCAAAGACCCACTTTATTTTATTAATCAGTACGTTAAAAAAGCAAAGATCAATAACCACAACTATTAAAGCTATCGGACAACTAGCTTTTATTTGCTAAACAGCTATCCCATTTTTTTTATTTCCTTAGGTATTTAAAAAGACCTTTTACCAGGGACATGGTGATACAAATGCTGGATAATGACTGGAATTAACCTGCAGCAGCTTCAAAAAGAAACACAGCATGAGGCAGAAATAAACAAAACTGGAGTAATAGAAAGTACAATCGAAGCATAATGGCTTACTACCGTAATTACAGCATATAGCATTACAGCAGCACAAAGGGAAGTGAAAACAGGGTTACAAAAAATACACAAGCTCTGGATAACCATTTAGAAATAAAGTGACCCTGTCACTATAGTAAACCTTTGAAATCAATGCATACCTATAAAAAAGACATTGTAAATACTTACATTTCCTGCCACCCATGTTTCTGAACTCTTCTCCAATGGCGAGAATCCTGCATAAAACTAAACTGAAACCGACACTTTCAAGAGTGTCAATCTCTTGGGTCCCCCCTGTAGCACTCACTTGTTACGGCTGACCTCCATGTTACTACTTTAATAAGAGGGAGGAAGCTGGGACACCCAGGAGATTAACATTCATGGAAGAGTTGACTTCAGCAGAAGATTTCTCAGGATTGAAGACATATTTAGTGCCATGGGCATCAAAAGGCAAGTGTCTGCCCTGTCCTTTCACAGGTATGCATTGGTTTTAAGGTTTGCCATAGCAACAGTTGCTTGAACTTGAAGGTCCTCTGCTTATGAGGGGACAAAGGCCACCCTTGTATCCTAAGGATATGATACTAATGCAGGGGTGGACAAATAATATGGAATTCAGGAGCCAGTTTGTACAATCCTGAAGCCAGCAGGATTCTCTTTAGAAGCCAGCTTCATTGAAAACCTCAAAAGTTAGACAGTAGCTGTAATTTTTAAAGAGTATTGGCTACCTGGCTCCTGGGATTTGCCCAGCTCTTTACTAATGTCACTCTTTGCTCCCTGTCCTTCTAATTCTTCAGTGATTTGTGTAAAATAACATTACAGGATTCCACTAAAGAGTAGGAAACAACAAGCCACAAAGGAAGCACACAATGTACAAATTAGGACATATCATGAAATCATGAGTGCACGTTTACACAATGTCCACTTATTCTTTTTGAACCCCCTCCCCTGACCTAACTGATCCCATCCTCCACCTCCACAGATGCATAATTGCCGATATCTGGCGCCCATAGCCTTCCATGTTTATTTACATCCCATACCAAAGACCCCAATTGACTTCTATGGGGCTCATATTCCCCCATCTCCGGGCCAGGAGGTGCAATGAGATGAGCCCATCGGCTGAACAAATCCCATGAACCAGGTATCCAATGCTCCTTAAAAATGACAACTGGCTCTTAATTTTTTAGGTTTTCTTTAGTTGTTGTCAATGGACCTGGCAACTAAAAAAAATCCTGTTGGCTCCTGGATGGCCAGACTGGCTCCTAAATTCTATGGTAGACCCTGGGAGCTGGATCTTGGCAACTATGCATCTGTGGAGGGTGGAATCGGTTAGGTTGGGTGATGGGGTTCAGGATCTTTAACGTATCTCAACTTTAGAAGATTAGACTGTAGAAGTGTTTAATATCAAAACATGTTTTAACATGTATCAAAAAATGTTTTAAAGCTGACACATTACAATCCAATTTCAAAGAAACTGATTGGATTGTTGAAGTTGGCCCTCAATATATATTGTTTTGGCAAAACTAGTATTCAAGGTATATAGTTAACCTAAGATGTTGAAAGTCAGCCGAGCTGACACAGTTAACTCTTTCACAGATTGGCCTGCCAACAATGTCCTGGAAAGGAAGGTACAAGGGACAACATAAAACATGATGCTTCCAAAATATCCTAAATCCATAGTCTAGAACATCCAAGGACAGTCTACTAAAACCATTATACTATAAAAGAAAGACATTTTTAGCAACATAAAAACAGACCAGTAGCAACCAATGAATTTTAATCTTCAGTTCAAAGCAGACAGGACAATGAAAATGACATAGTTGCTATTACTTACACATTGCACAGTGGCTTTTCCCTTGTTCAATAAAGATTTACAGAATATACATTATATGATTCATCCCATAGAAATAAACAAAGCTACTTACATGTGAACGTGAGGGGGCTGGAATCTGCTTTGGTTAATGTTGTAATGCGTAAATGCCTGGGTGGGGTTGGAACTGTACTCGTCCACCGTCACTGTCACTTTGCCTTGTGAGGGAATACCAAGAGCCATCCTTCCTTCTTATAGACATGAGCAATTCACAGCGTGTGGGAACAGCAGGGGCGAACAAGCACCATGCGTCCACCAACTACGAGCCCCAGAGGTGTGTTCATTAACACTGCAAAAGCCTGCAGGCCAAATGAGAAAAAAAAAAGAAAGTTACTATCTTTTGTTATCCAGATGAGGCACAAAAGTGGGCTTGTCATCTACCAAGAAGTATGTTACAAGACATACAACTAAACATGCTACACTACCTATATATTACAGGTATGTATGAGGGAGGACAGTTGTTATTATTTCCCATATTTGCAGTGCTAAGATGTATGATACAGCATACAAAGAACCATTATCTGCCCCTTGGAGCTAACAATCAAGCATCCTTTATCAGTCACACAAACCCAAGATGGTTAGAGACCTATTATTCCACCAGCATGTTATTGGGTCTTATGTATTTTTTAACAGAGGGATAGTGCCAAAACTCCCCATAGAGTAAATCCCTTACGCGAAATGAAATCAGGATCCCAGTGGTCATAGTCTTCCACTCTAACCATATAAAGGGAAATGGTTATTAAAAAAGAATAAACTATAGGTGCTGCCACTGTTAGGCAGCACCTATATAAACATATTAGGCAATAGGTTTGAAAGATTCTAGGGTTGTTTTCCTCAGGTTTATATTACTACTTAGTGAATCACTGAAGCGAGAATGCAACCAGTTCAGACGTCACAACATGTCTACTTAGTCCTGGTCACTGGATCACCAAGTATAGGAGGAGATAACAACCCTGCAGCTCCACACTCTAAAAAGTAATCATGGTAACAGCTTGCATATTTCTATCCTGACAGGTTCTCCTAAAAGTAAACCAGTGGTATGTACAACCAAAACTTTTTCATTTTGGATAACGTATGGAACCGTTAAAAATCCTGCCAGGGTATTTCTGCCACCTTTGTCCCACTGGGGAGATTTTTCTTCACTTCTGGTCCCAGAGAACTGCAATAAGGTTTTGTATGGTCACTATGTAGCCCACCCTTATAGGCTGCATGTTGGCTAGGGAGGCCAATAGGAAGTGTTTGTAAAACTATAGATGTATGTATATGTTGATATTATATGTGTGTGGCCAGATTTAGACAGGTATAATCTTGCTTTTCTATCAAGAACTATTCAGTCTTAGTTAACAACCACAAAACCAACATGTCATGCATTTTATGTAGTTGAGCATGAAGTGAAAAAAAAGGAGTTAAATAAGTTCATGCAAAACTCACTCAGTTTCAGCTGGTTTTAAAAGGGCCTACTGACACCTCTATTGCGAATTTCCATGAGCAAGATCTCTGCACTTGAGATCCCTTGATTTCCTTGGCTGTATAAATGGCTACAGAGGGGCACCAAACTGGGAACTCTGGCGCAGAGCTCAGTGCTGCATTCTCTGACCAACAGAACAAGCCAGAAGGTGATTTAAACAACCAGCATCCTCCAGAACTGAAATATCAAATGTCTGTACACTTAGTATTTCAAAAGCTTTCAGAGTGAAATGCTGCATTTCTAAGCTTCTAACAAAGACCATGGATTTTTGAAGAGAGACCTTAATACAAAGACTTTTGCGGATTGTAAATGTATGACCATATATTTCTTTTAAAAGTGAACCTGTAGTGAAAAATGCACATAAGTTATAAAAGGTCTGCATGCTATAACTGAAGTAAAAATAATTTGTTCAGTTTTACTTGTTTTATGTTACTTTTTACATTTGAAAAATAAATAACTTATGTTTATACAATTTATATAAAATTATTTTACAACTAAAGATTTATTACACGGAGCATCTATAGCTTGCAAAACATAACAGGTTTTCAAAAAGCAAGCTTGAATACACCCAGTGTACAAATGTCAGACTGTCTCATCTCTATTATTTCTATTAGAGGGGCAGGGGTAAAGGTAAGGGGCCTACATGCATAGAGGTGTAAGAGGGACTTTTAGAGAAATTACCCTACTTCCCTACTGTAGCATGGTACCAGAGATTACATTTCCTGATTGGTGACAAACATTATACATTTACAAGAAATCCTATTGGTGAGTCATGAGGGTCATCCTACAGAGGCAGTTAAAGAAGCAACATCACTTTGATGATGGTGAGGTGACTATGATAGTGGTCTAAGCTCTGAAGATCTGTGCGTATATTGTTCCTTTGTTCATTTCATGTGCGGGCCGCCATTCTAAATATTAAAAAGGTATTTCTCTGTCAGCCAGGTCTTAAATATAGTTTCACCAGTCTGCATAATCTGATCTCCCTGCCATTCATGTCTTTCATAGAACAGGTGTATATCAGCCTCCAGAAATCTAGTGCTATTATATTAAGCTTACCATATGCTGGCTTTAGGTGGTAAATATGAAAAATGTGATTAAAAAGACAAACATTTTCTAAAATCCTGAACATATTAAATGTAATAATGGAAGTCTGGCATCCAGTCATATGACCTATCCGCCCATTTGGAGGTTCCCAAAAGCCTGATTAGAAAAAGCCACTCCTCCCTGGCAAGCCCTGCTAAAATAAGTTCTGATAGCGATGTGATTCGTGACTTGTCATCAATCACACGACCGTACGCTGGTGCAATGCAGGATTTCTGATGATCACAGAATGGGTCAGGTTAAAAGCTATTTCATTAATTTCAGTATGCAGGCTGAAAGGTAATATAAACATGGGATAGTTTTGATTATAGATCCACTATAAACATTACATAAAATATGCCATTGATATTGACAAGCAAAAAAAAATCCTGTTTTGTATCCATTAGACCATCTAAACACACACATCTTTAATTACAGATATTGAGACATAAGAGAACAGTTCTACTGCTATCACTTCAATTACCAGTCACACAAAAGGTCAAAACGATTTTATTCATGTGCACGCTGCCAGCCTGTGAACCAGGTAATAATCACAATCCTGCCATTTATCAAGTCAATTATTCCACATTACATGTTTTTGATAGACCAAATGACAACTGAAAGATGAGAAAGAAGGAATGAAAATACGACACATAAGAGACGTTATTGGCGGTAATTTAAAGTGGCCATGCTGGCCATACAAGTCTATGGATAGTGAGGCACTAAAATAATATATGCACAGGCAGTTTATAGTCAAATATTACTAAATGTTAATTCTAGTTCTGTACTGAAAATCCATTTGAATTCTAGTCAGAATGAAGCCATCTATGCTATGTTTGTTAAAACATTTCTAATAAAAAGGGGCTCTGCCATTACTGTTATGTATCTTATAAGAGTCAGTGGCAGACTGACATCGGCAAATGTCCTGCCCTTTTTCACAAACATCATCCAGGAAGCTGGAAATAGCCAGAGTAGAAACTATGTTTCCTTAATTGGATTATTGGTACATTGAAGCTATGAATTTATTTTCCTCTGCTTGGTTTTCAACTAAAAGTCATGCCTAAGGACAAACACCACATGTATCTGCTATTATCGTTAATATCATAAAACGCCCCCTTTGTGCCTGATTTAGATTTTTCTTGACGTCTGAATATAGAATAGCCATTCCCCTGTCCAGAGTTGAGTATGGGCGTTGAGCAAGAAGATGGCAGCTGATGGAGTGAAGTGTCAGCTACTGGTTGTGTCCATTGGTGGTAGACAGCAGAATGGTCTGGTCAGTTCATAGGTAGGATACTCATTATGTGGTTTTCCCAATTAAAAAACATAAGGATTTTAAAATGAGCTTGTGTCCTGGCCTGGTCTTTTATCTTAGAGGAGGTATAGGTTAGGGTAATACCTGAAAAATAAGGAAGTGCAGGCCCTTGAGGTGTGGAAGCCACCTTAAATGGCTGATCCTCTAGGTCGGGGTATGGCTCAGACCTGTCCAACAACCAGTAAATGGACAAGAGAAAAACATAGGGAGAGAGGGAGAGGGAAAATAAAGAATCACAGGCATCCTGTAGTATCTACTCTTACACAGAAATTAAGGAATATGTATAGTAATGTTTTGTTAGCTAAAGGTAGAATAGGATAAAAATAAGATATAAATACGGTCTTGTGTCTCAGAAAAGGGATAGGGGAGGTCTCCTCAAATACTAAAAGGAAGGAAAGACTGATAGATAACAAAGTGAGGTAAACCTTTAAGGTGTGGAAACCAATACGTATGGACTAGGCATAGACCTGTCCAAAAGCCAGAGAGAGAGAGAGAGAAAGAGCGAGAAAAAACGAGAGCGAGAGGGAGAAAGAAAAGAGCGAGCGAGAGGGAGAAAGAAAAGAGCGAGCGAGAGGGAGAAAGAGAGCGAGCGAGAGGGAGAAAGAGAGCGAGCGAGAGGGAGAAAGAGAGCGAGCGAGAGGGAGGGAGAAAGAGAGCGAGCGAGAGGGAGGGAGAAAGAGAGAGCGAGCGAGAGGGAGGGAGAAAGAGAGCGAGCGAGAGGGAGAAAAAGAGCGAGCCAGAGGGAGAAAAAGAGCGAGCGAGAGGGAGAAAAAGAGCGAGCGAGAGGGAGAAAAAGAGCGAAAGGGAGGAAAAGTGAGAGGGAAAGAGTGAAAGAACTAGAGAAATAGAAGAAAAGAAAAAAAAAGGCAGAGAAAAGGGAGAGGAAAAAAAGGAGAGAAAGAAGTGGAGGGAGAGCGAGAGGAAGTGCAAGAGCGAGAGGGAGCCTAAAATATGTACATTTAAAAGTGATCTAAAACCTAACTGCAGTTCTTTCACACATATATAATTTGTATAAACATTAGTAATGTATACTACTCACTTCAGCTTACATTAACAATTCAATACATTTAATAATATCATTTAAGTATGCTATACCCCCTACTGTAGACATGAATAATGAACAATAATAACTCTCTCATTTACAGTCTATGGAAAATATTAGTATAATGCGAAGATACATCATGCAGAATGAAGTTAAATATCTGCATTAATATACCATAATGCTGCAGTTGAATTCATGGGCTAACCATTTTCAGCATTCCATGATCTTTCATGATTGGCTAGTCTTAGGGAATCCTGTACATTTACTTATAGCTGTTAAGTGTGTGCGCGTGCATGTGTATAAAGCAGTAATTTTGGTTGTGAAGGTAGGATGTGACCACTGGTGTGAACGCGCCCTAAGCCCTCTCATTTACTTATATAACCTTTATTTTCCCTTA